GATTATCGTTTAGCCAACATACAGGCTTTATGGTAAAAAATCTTTAATTACTAGTATTAATGGATTGGTTATCTTTCGTGTATGTGTATCTAATAAAATGAAACGAGTATTCATTTTGTCATTATTTTTAATTTATAATAATCATAACTGGATATTGTTGTATTATTTTTAACCGTCTTAAAGTATGGGTTTTAATTTAAACTTTATTTCTTTGTTATGTTTTGTTAAAATAAATTGTTTATCTTGGCTACTCTACTCATATTATATCAAGATTCAAGCGGATTTTAATTTATTTATAAAAGGTCATCTCTTGAGACGTCAGTCGTTATTTTATTCAATATATCTCATCATTTACTTTCTTACATCAATAACCCACTATGGTATAATTGGAAGTGTCCCAGAACATAAGAAAAAATAATCTACAAATCACTTTGACAAAGCACCAACAGCAGTGGATTTATCCGCGCACAGATACGGAGCCGCCGTGCCCAAGGACCATGTCTTAGGAAGCCTGTGGTTACTTATATGGACGATCTAGCGGTACAAGCTGAAATGCCATTTGGGATTGTATTGGGTTGTTTGTTAGGATATAAAGACTTTTGTGGATGTGAAATCTGAGGTTTTAATGTTGGTGTGGTTGGATTGGCTGTGGGAAAATGCATTTAGGATAAAACATACTTTTTATATATACACTCTCTTCTCAGCTTAAATTTCGAATCTACGAGGGAAGTGGGTAACTTTATTTCTGTTTGGGGTATACGGCCTTGGAAATTTTGAATTTTCATTTTTATATGCTATTTCTCCTGACTTGTTCGTATCTAACATAAGTCAAAACATGACAAATGTTAACCAATTACTAACAATAACTTATTTTAAAATCATATGTAGCCTTGAAAATAGTAAGAGCTTGTATAGGTACTCGATGTAAAGTTAATCGCTGAATTACATAATTCTCTTATCATACCAAAGTTATTTATGTTCGAATAATTTCTACTACCAAAGCTATCTCTGCAGGACACCGGACAGTCTTGTCAAATGCCGTATTTTACACCTCTACCAATGTTGTTTATGTATTTTCCTTGTTTCATTAGTAAGGGAAGATTGAAGAATGGCGGCGTATTGCAATAAGTTTGTTGTAACAAATGTTAACAGTACTGTGTAATAATGTAAATTCAGCTAGCTTAGTTGAGTCAGATAACTATTTTTGTTACTAATGTTTTCGAATATGATCATTCATGGCAATGGAACATTAATTCAGTAATGTAAAAAGCCGTGCAGATTTTTTATTGTGATTGATTTTTCAAGACAAAAACGGAATAGAAAGCTTGTTATAAACTAAGCAATGGTTTGGAACTATGCTAAACTTGATAAATACAATATTGAAAGCTACTATTAAAGAAACTAAGAGAAAAGTTTATTTTGTATAGCATACAAACGGACCGCTGTTAAACTTTATGAAAGGCGGTAATCGTTGCCTCTAGAGGTGAATAACATATGCACAGAGAATATGCACGTCTAGTATGTACAGTTATGAGGATTTTTTAAAATACCATATAAATATAAAACATCACCAGACCACAGAAACTGTATGATAAGAAAGTTTTAGTTTATTATTTGTACTCTAAGAGCTGATACAGAAATTTATTCAGAACTTTCCGATCTCGAAATTGCTGCCCGTCGATGTTATGCTTAGTAGAGAAGAGCCTACTTAATGCAGGCTATAGGTCCATAATTTAACTTCTCCGTTCTTATTATTAGTGTATTATTATAATGAAATGTAGCTATTAATCCAATTACGGAAATAAATATATAATAATTGCAAAAACGTGGCGTAGGACGACCAGTCCTTCCTGATTCGTGCCTACATAAGCTACATATCACAATGTTGTTATAATAGCCATTATTATGTACATACAATAATAATGTATGTGATTGTATGAGGGACGCCAGAAAGGATTTGGTGTGTGTAGGTTTTCTCATTGGTTTGTATGAAATAATTTAAGTGTGATTTGTTTTGGTAACTATTGTGGAGATATTTTTTATATGTTGACTTATTCTTTAAATATATGACACAATTTTTTAATAATACTATAGGTTATAGCCCCGAATATAAACATTTTATTCCAAATTTAAGCGCCATCAGCAGATCTGGAGTCTAATCTCAATATCAAGTTTAAATTGATGCATTTTTTTATTCTTATCTTAAAAAAATATTAAGACTAAACGAGATAAATCGATAATAATGTCTTTTAGTTCTAGCATGGAGTTAACACGTTACTAGTGTATAGTTATGGAGTAAGAAAAATTGCGGAACAGCGCAATCCAATGTCATTAAATCTAAATTAGTTTCCGAAATTGCAGCAGTTGAGTAGACATAATATAAAATTCAGCTGTTATTTTTAGAGACACACTACTACATATTTGTAAAAAGTTTGCAAATTTTAATAAAACTGGGACATCTCGAAAGTCTCATTACAAAATGTTCCTCAGTATTTTGTAACACAATGTAGCGCTCATGTAGGTAATGTAGAGAAACTATATAAATGACCGTATCTAATCTTGGCGTTAGAAACTGTCCAGTAATATTGTTTCTAGATGGAGAAACGTTGATGTTTAAAATACGTAATACCTTACCACCTAATATATGATTTACTTTCATACCGTAATGAGAGAAAGAGCCCACATCACGGGATAATGGAAAGTGTTTGCATTATATATCAACGTTTTAGGGTATTCCTTTTAATTTGGTGAATAGAAAAGTGCAGTCTATATGTATATTGTAATAAAAGTTGCAGTAACCTAATATCATTATATTAATTGTCATAATATATATGTAAATTTCTCTTTTTTTTAAATTTTATTGGTGTATAAAATTTTATTGGTGTATCATTATTATGTATTATAGTAGGTATATATTTATATTTATGTATGTATATTTGTAATTATTTTTAAGAAAACCTATTTACCTATGTTAGGTAAAATTATAGGTTAGTCCTTTCCCACCACTGCCCATCAACCGCTTTCTGTTCTTACCTAATGGTTAGCTGGTAGAGAATGCCATATGGCATTAAGCTCGCCAAATTGTACAATTTTTAAAAGTGCAATAAAGAATAAATGAATAAATAAATAAATGCTAATATAATTTTTAATTATGCATCAAAATACATTAAAACAATAAAAAAAAACTTTACACACACTACCATGTATTTGACACACACGCATAGAACCTTAATATTGTTGAAACTTATAATTTTAATTAATTATGGTGAAATTTCGACTATTGGACGACCACTAATATAGATAAAATAATGATCTGAAGTACACTGAACTGAATCAAAACTAGATAAAATGAAACAGAAATTAACGAAGATTAACTTTATACAAGCAATTTGCTATGTGTAAGGTAAGATATAGCAGATAAATTACAGGGTACGGAGTCATGACACCTCAGTCTTCAGGAATAGCAACGCGTGAGTGGTATCACAGAGGTTATATCAAAGAGATTTTATTATCGGTTTGCTGTTCATGCATGTGACGGTAGCCGTTTTCTCTTAAGTGAAGTTTCATTTTATTTCATTGTAATTATATTTATAACTATATATAATACAAAAATGTCAAAGCTTTCTCATAAGCGCTCCGTCAACATAATGGGAGAGGTTGTTAAACGACGTTACACCAATATTACAGGGGACCTTTGATGTAATTTGTAATGAAATCCGTTGTTGTGGGTCCAATAATTGATTTTGCATGACTCGTTGTAAAATTACCACTCCATAGAAACGTGTGTTTCTCTATAAACTTTTATTATGTAACTTTCCTCGATGCTTTACCCGTATAATAATAGAATTGAAGTATGGAGTTTATTGAATATAATCTTTAATTTTTATATCTTATTAATTGCAGTAATGTTAATTTCGTAACATATTGTTGGAGTAAAATAATTAGTAATGTTATAATTCAATATTATAGTTAAATTATAAATATATAACCATAGAGGACATGTTACTACATCTATTTTTTGTAGGCTATTATAAATATAAGTATGATATTTGATTATTCTAAATGTTACTATATAAAACCTACTTTAATTATATGAATATAGTTACTATATGTATATTTCTAATGATAATATTTTCCAATTGTATATATATACAGAATCGGTACGAAACATATACTCAATTTAGTATGTATACTCTCAGAATAAATCACAATATTCCTTCATGATATTAATCAAGTTGATTAGAATTTAATTTGTGATGTTTGTCTATGTTACCATAGAATCAATATGTAACTTTATACTGTAATATATTTTATGTAACTGCAAATGATGTGACCTGATGGAAAGTGGTGACCGTTGACTAGACATTCACTGCACCACTGGCATTACAAAATGAATTTTATAACAATGTATTTTCTGTACTTATCATGCGACTATTTATGAAGATTAAAGACTGTCTTACTTCATAAAACATTCTTCTAAGGGATCAACTAATATTTAACGTAAATAATTTTAAATAGGTCATCTATAATGTCACTGCTGTCTCTCATCATTCAAAATTGTTATTTTTACATTTTGTCTTATTTTCACTTTTGAGACCTTTTGTGAGCGCCGTGATTGTTTACTACCCCGAAAGACTGAAACTGATATCAAAAAATTATTGTGTGTTTATATTTATAATTATCTCTCAGGTGACGGAAACATCGATAATAAACCTAAGAGTAGGTCCGAGAGAGACAGTAGACTCGCTTCATGTCAAGTAGGATTTAAACTACCTGCCAAAGTTTCCTCCCGGGACTACAGCATGGGCTTTTTCTAGAAGAGGGTATGTTTATGTTTCTTAAGGGACGGCATCGCGGACATGATAGCTCTTGTGTCTTAGGTGGCTATAGGCTACGGTAATGATTTACCATCTCATGTAGTTTTAAAAACTATGTTCTCATCTTTATTGTATTCTCTTCAAAAAGTCGATAATGTACTAACGAACAATATTCTTCTACAGGCAAAATCTGAAGAACAATTAGCATGCGAGAAAGAATGGCTACAAGCTGGGCACATGTGGTTGGCTCATCGAGGTGGCTTCACGGCTGTCGCCAGAGAGGGAGATGCAGACGCCGGCAGAGCCAAAGTTCGAGTGTTGCAAACTGGGGAATTGATCACCGTCGATGAAGACGACTTGGAGAAGGTAAGTTTTGTAGAAACAGCTAGCCAGGAAACTAAATTAAATAATCACGTATATTGGTTATCCTTGTATGTTGTTCTGTTTCAGTGGAAAACTAGTAAGAACTCAAAGAAAAATTCTCGCTTTAAAAAAGATGAATATGTGTGTCATATGATTTGCGTCTGAGTAATAAAATCAATATTTAACCAATCATTGAATACATACCGAATGTAAACAGCAAAATAAATCATCTTACTATAAGGTAGTAGAGACAATTTACTGTACACACGTATGCGACGTAGATTGTCTGACAAGAAGGGACATAGGCCATCTTTTACTTTGAAAAAACAGACGAGGTTCCGGAAAACTGTTAGTGTTCTTTTCATATCGGTAAAGATGGGAATGAAAGAAAATTATTGTTTTTCTTTATTCATAAGAAATACATGATGAAACCACAGCCTCAATCGCCTGCGGTGTTTCTAGCACTATATGTGGTTAAGGAAATTATTTTTGATATTAATAATGATATAATGAATTGCATGATATGTATGTAATTTCCTAGTTGTCTCAGTCGTGCTCAGCGCACGTACCTCAGTGTTTCTGTTGTTGGGTAAAATTAGGCAGTGAAAATACAGGTGAAGAGGCATGATATCTTAGTTCTCTGAATAACAATATGTGAGTGGTTCACAGGTATGATGTCCTTAGTGTTGTTCATGTTTACAGGTAATAGATACTCCTTGCTATGAGCCATTTAAAAGAAATAAAAGAGTTAATCGTACTGAGTTGCGCCATCGCCATGCGAATCGAATTGCGCCAAAAGGAAAAAATATTTGCTGATACTTTATTGGCAGTATATTTCTTATTTGATATTAAATTATGATATATTGTGAATTTATTTGTGTACGATATTTTTTTCAAATTCCTTCGATAAGCGGGATTAAGTACCTAAAGCTCTAAACATTATTTAATACAAAAGTATTAAAAAATGTCAAATGCTTGAAACATCAATTAACCAATATATATTTTTTTCATTTTTCCCTCATTCCTTAGTTCTTGACTAGCTGAACCGCGCAACTTCATCTGTATACTACACTTTCATGGCATGTATCATTAAATATTACTATAAAGTTTCATCAAAATCCGTTTAGTTGTTTTTGCGTGAAAGAGTAACAAACAACCATCCATCCATTCATACACACAAACTTTTACTTTTATAATATTAGTAAGATATGGCTATTAGTATCTATAATTCGAATGGTTTGTTCAGGCAAACCCACCGCAACTGGAGATGTGTGAAGATATAGCCTCTCTTCGCTGCCTAAACGAGTGCGGCTCCCTCAACGTGCTTCGGTCGCGGTACGCTGCTGGTCTGCCGCACGCTCGCGCTGGCCACGCGCTCCTGGTATTGGGCCCACCGAAACGCACCGCTCCTATTTATACTGAAAAGGTAAGGTTAAAAGTACTATAGTATACTAGCTGTGCCCACGGTTTCAGTCACATTAAATTACAATAAAAAATATACCCTATATTATTCTAATACATAGCTATATTATTGTAAAGTTTCCTCAAAATCCGTTCAGTAGTTTTTACGTGAAAGTATACCTCTTCATCTATCCATACTCACAAACTTTGCGTTTATAATATTAATAGGATTATTTTAACTATACTAATGTTGTTTGGCCGTGGATAGCCTTTAGAACAACATCGGGCGGAACGAATGAAGAAGACTCTCCAAACCCGCGCAAGGCGTTACGGCGTGACTGGATGCCTTCTCCTAATATATCTTACTTTAAGTGTTTAAACCACATATGCAATACTTTGACATCAGCTGCCTATAGAGAAATAAATTTCGGCCCATCGTGATGTCACCAGGAATTAGCCATGATGATTTTCTGTGGGCAGCACGTCCTCTACGTGCTACATAATGGTACTTTACTTACAATGGTGTCACACCCCAATACTAATAATCCCCGTTCCTTTCCCAATATATTCTACCGAGTAGTTACAACTTTATGTACAAACATATTTGTTTTCGTTAAAATAGCCTATATCACCATGTTGATGAAAGTAATCAAGTAGATTAAATATTTATGAAAAATCTAATATTTCAGGTTGCTGCGATGTTTCGTGGATGTCGGGCAGATGATATGCCACCTCACGCGTTTGCAGCAGCGCAATCAGCTCACCGCTCTATGCTAGCCTCAAGGCGAGACAGGGCCATTGTGTTTCTTGGACGGTATGTGTCCTTTGTGTGTACAGTGTACATTTTAAATCTTACAATGTAATTATAACTGTCGGTAAACAACGACAAATGTAATGAAATTATATATATTTGTATTTTCGATTATTATATTTTATATACCTTAATTGTACAAATAAGGACGTAAAATTAAAGACCCTAAAAATATAATATAATAACTAAAATATATTATTAAAATGCCCTTCCTTCCGCCATGCCGTCCCTTTAGGGAAAGTTCCGAAGATACTGGTAGCGTTCCCTCTTTGAATGGCTAGACTAATTCTTTGTCCGAGGTAGCTGCCAGATCTTCGGTCTTTTGTGATGTCCACTAACCTTTTTGTTATTTATTTGAAAAGTCTTAGAGCGCTAGGACCCCACAGAACAAGGGTCTCACACACCGAATAGGACAAAATCATATTCGGAGCCTAGACCCCTGTATTTACATGCTTTGGCTTTTTCAGCCGCTTCACACACTTTGTATTTTGACTGTAATGTCGTTGATAATAATTATCATCTGTATCAGTTGGACTTACACAAAAATGTAAACTAACAACATTTATATTATTAGTTAGGATTTAAGTACAATTTAATAACTATTCTCCCTCCGCTTTGAACGTCGTGTAAATTGGAGTTATAAATATTTTAATTGTCAATTAAGACTACGTGTGCATTTTCTTTAAGTTGAATTATCTGTGATTGAGCAATAACCATTCAAACATTTTCAAAAAATTTAATTTTTGTTTTTATAATATTAACAAGAAATGGTATCAAATTGTAATGATCAACATGCTTTATCGGCCTTTTCTTAGAAATCTTTTATAATCCATGATTTTACATATGCATTACATATCTTTCCATATGATCTATGAATATATTAACACGTTAATTTAATATACAACTTAGTAGAGACCGTAGATTATTCATGTATGGTGTACATGTAGAATTACCTGTAGATACATTAACTTCACACAATCTACAACGCGTATCTATGTCGTTAATGAACAATATTTTAACCGCATTCACCTTATCATATTTTAATTTCATTCTATAACTATGAATACATTTATGGTCAAGGCTATGATTATGAACTAATGTGCAGCCGTGTTAAGCCAATGACACTTATTTACAAAAGACACAAGGATGATTTTGCTTTAAAATAACCAGTGCATCAGATATGATCAGGCAATTTATTATAAAGTCGCTAATTAGCAGAACAATTTTAATAGATTGTTACGGAGAGAATAGATTGCGACGAAAGATAGTTTGCGATGTAAAAGCCGTTTAAGACTGCTTTCATGAATAAAGTAATAGTTTATCGATAGAAATGTAACTTTGTCATTAATGCAACACGCAAGTTTCTTGCTCGTTCTTCTTGTGATGAGTCTGTGTTCCTAATGATTGCGATAATAAAAATATTAGACTATTCAAAAGTGCTTAGGTATATTAAGTTTATTTGATTAAAGATTATTTCTAGTTGTAATTGTAATGGAAAGATAGTAAGAAAATAAAGTGAAATCTATAAAGTAAGATCTCTGACTCCGTACACTGCTCTTACTCGTAATATCTTCATTATCTTCATATTCTTTCTTAGTTTGAAATTTTTAGGAGTTGCAGTTACAAGTTAATTTGCCAAGTTTGTAGTAAAGATGTATATTTGAATATGTTTTAACTGATAATTCTTATCAAGAACATTACATAATTATAATATTACAACCACCATCCATCGTCAGCATTTTGTTTTCTTGCCATTGTCGTGTTATAAAAAAATCTTATAGTGTTTCTAATTTTCAGATCGGGCTCCGGCAAGACCTCAGCGATGCGTCATTGCGTTTGGTACCTAGCGAGTACATACCCGGCGCAGGGGTCCAAACTAACACCTGAACGATTCGACGCAGCATTCGATGTACTCCATACGTTTGGATCTTGTCGGTTAGTACCAACATTATTAACACCAAAAACAGTTGTTTTAAAAATATTAAGACATTTGATACGGCACGATGTATTTATGAGAGTTATTATTAAGGGAAAGATAGAAGGACAGTAAGGGAGAGGAAGACCAAGATACAGCTACGTCAAGCAAATTAAAGACAGAATTGGAGTCGTGACGTATCTACGTTTAAAGAGTATGATGGAAGATCGTGGAAAGCGGTAAGAACTGCACCGACAAGAGCGTCGCTCTTAAATTATGAATGAACAGTTGTTTTGGCGTCATCTGTTCATCTTATTATATTTAAAATGAATACACATACATTTAATATATTTTTTAGGATACTAATATAGTCCTTATTTAATTAACCATAAGAAATAAAATACATGTATAGTCTTTGTTGTTTTAGCACAAGTTCAAACAGCCACGCCTCTCGCTTTGTGTCGCTGACGTCTCTTGATTTCGACGGCGGCGGCGCTCTCGTGTCCGCCTCAATACAGACGTTACTGCCTGATCTAAGACCAGGACATGTTCCACTTAAGGCACTTCATACGTGAGTATTAAATTTCCTTCTTTCCTTCCTTTTTTATTGAATTCCCGATATATTGGCTATGATACAATCGCTATGATCACATACAAACTGAAGTTCAGATAGTAGATTATAGCAGACTCATGTTGGGTAATATTCTATCATTTTCTAGATTATTCCACGGCTGTGATGGTCGCCTCCGCCGAGAGTTGCTTCTGGATCAAGCACCAATCAACGCTCCGAACCCATTTATCAGCTTCAGCGATAAAACAGATGCTCCCACTGAGTTCTCGGCGCTGAAAGAAGCTATCCAGCTGCTAAATATCACCGAGCAGGAGGAGATGGCTGTGTGGAAAATATTAGCTGCCGTCTGTCATTTGGGATGGGCTGGTGCTGTGAAAGGTATAGTCATTATTTTAATTATTTACCTCTTTATCGATTTATAATATACTAACTTTATAAAACACTTATATATTAATTACCCGTACTGCCTTATTTGAAAAGAATACGATCTGAGTTTCTTGTCAGTTCTTTTCATCTCGAAATCACTCCGAACTGACGGTAGATTTGACATAACATAAGAGTCTGTAATAGACCTACTTGAATAAAGATATTTTGAATTATTTATTAATTTAAAGACGCGTAGAATATTTATAAATAATCAATAACTTTATAGTTATGTCTCTCCTTCATAGTCAGAATTTTTTTTGGAATAATAATTAAATGTTACCAAAAGCATCAAATGCACTAAAGTCGCGTCGCGTCGGATTGAAAGAAGCGGGAATTCGCGAGGGGGCGGCGCTCTTTCTCATTCTCTTTGTCTACATTTACATATTCATTCTTTTCCTAGATGAAAGTCGAATCACGCGTAAGAGAGCGTACGTGTAAAGGCAGCTATTTACATACTCATTCTTTCTTGCGAGAAAATCGATTCGCGCGTTAAACAGCGTATGAGTAAAGACAGCTATTTGCATTTCATTCTTTCTTGCATGAAAGTCGATTCTTGCGTGCAAGAGCGTACATGTAAAGTTTAAAGTTATTAATTGCATTCCAGCGAGCACAGTACCGGGCGCCGGCGCGGGCGCTCGTTACCAGTTCGCAAGCACGGGCTGCGGACAACGTGCGGCGCGCCTGCTCGCCGTCGGCTCTGACGAGCTCGCACGAGCCATCTTCACCGGCGCCGTGCCATCCTCGCCACAAAATAATTCCAACTTGAGGTACCGTCATTTTTGTATCTAGTTATGATAAGATGAAAATCTCTATTCAATGCAAACAAACAATCAATCAAATCTACCCTTTTTATAATATTAGTATAGCTATACTATTGCATAATATATTATTGTTTGGAGAAGTCCTTCGCTAAAATATGTTAACCGTTTGTAGTATTTTGTATCTATCTTTTTAAAACATTTGCTATTATACAATCGAGTTGAAGTTTTGTCAAAAATCAAGGACAGTATGAATCGAGTTGTTTGTGAAGTTTCGTTAAAAAGTTCTGTAGAAACTTCAACTCAAAAAGTCACAAGAAAAACAATATTTTTTTTATTATTACATTAAATGGAAATTATTTTATTTCAGAACACCATCACCTTCGAACGACAGAGAGGTGTCGGGCACAGAGGCTCTGGATGCGTTTGTCACCGGCCTCTACAACGAGACATTCAACATTATTGCCTCGCTTGTCAATAGGTAATAAATAGTATTTTGTTCTTTTGGATACTTTTATTAATATTCAAATTTCATCCTTCTCATCTCCATCGTACCACGGTTGTCGTCTTATTTTTCATGTCTTGAGCACATATTTTAGTTAAAAAATATTAGTAGTTATTTAATAAATTTATCACTGGCTGGTTAAACTGTCAGTACATAATTGTGAGATAAGGGCTCTATTTTCAGATTCATTTGTATGTCATTGAAATACTTATAATAGTCATAACAAATAGCCACATTAGGGATACGTGTTTCACAATATGTAAACGTATGTCACTAATGGGTTAATTACAGTGCGTGTTGTAAGGGTTCTATTTTCAGAGCCACTTTTGTATATCATTAACATACCTATGGTAGTCATCAATTGTCAAACATGTATTATAATATAAGGGCTACTGGTGATGCATGTTTCGCAATTTGTATAACAACTTATATACGCAGGCAAGGCCAACTCTTTCTACTTTCTGCCCGATAGATGGTGGATATTTATTATTTCTCACATCAATTTATCATTTCAAACATGTTCTGTAATGTAGGAGTGTGTCGTCATCTGGTCGCACGTCGTGGTCCCTGTTACTGCTGGATGCGCCCGGCGCCGACAATCCTATGTGCGCCGGACAACAGAGCGGTGCTCCGCTCTCCAAACTGCTTTCCAATTATCTACAGGTGACTCTTCCCTTCTTTCTATTATATCTGCTCATTATTATTGCGATTTACCATATTACCTATTTGTATTTATCTGAGTATTCCTAAGTCCCACGGAGGGTTGGTGTCAGACAGGCGGCCGGCGGTAAAAACTTATAAAAAAAACCTATGCAATATAGATCGACAGATATACTATGCCGACCCCAAATAAGGGGATAAAGGCAAGGCAATTATGATGATTTATCTGGGTATTGTTCTATGTATATTGCTATAGAATTATATATATAATATAAATAAATATTGGTATATAGGAACGACTTCAAGCTGTCTTTCATGAAGCCACTCTCGTAGCGCCGCGAGAACGCTATGCGCAGGAGGGGATCACCCTTGACGACGGCACAGATGAAGGTACGTATTTTAAATATTGTTTGCACATATAAATTTACTTTACTATTTGTAAGTTATGATCAAGCACTGGAAGAAAAGTACTTTATATTATTATTAGATTTTATTTGTTCTAAGAAAATATATTTTTTTAAATTAGTATATCTTGAATGTAGTAACAAATATATGGATTTGTATTAATCTTATCTTCACCGGGAATAGAACCAATTAGAATATCGTAATCGTTGATAAAAATAAAAAAGACACTTTTACGAAACCAAATGATGGCCATACGAGAGCACAACCTTCTCGAATGTTCTTTGTTTGGTTTGTCAAAACAACACTCGTAGATTAATTTTCTTATTTATTTTAGATTGGTTATCGGAGACCGTGAATCCTGGACCGATGGTGGAATTGCTTGATAAGTCTCCACAGAACACAATAGTGCGCAGCTCACAAACGGATTTGCGCGACTGTGATCGTCGTGGTCTGCTATGGTAAGAATAGTTTCTTACATTCTATTCTATATAACGTATCTCTATAAAAAAACTAGACGTTACTGTCTTTCGTCGTTTCTATTTTTTTTTATTTATTATTAAAATAACATGCTAAAAAGCAGATTAACTAAATCGCATAGTGACTTTGTGATTAAATACTAATCCAGTACGTTGTAATATAATTTAGGCTGTTGGACGAGGAATCAATGTACCCGGGATCATCGGACGATACGTTCCTAGAGCGAGTGATGACGCATTACGGAGCCCCTCACCATACACACTACCTCATCAAGAAGGCGCCGCACGCGAGACAGTTCGTGTTGCAACATTTACAGGTAAGATTAGCCACGAATCCGGTTCGAAGGACCATACAATGTTATCTATTATGTTTCTTAATCAGTTTTCTTATATTTTTTGATGTACTCCACATTTAATTATTGAGTTATTTCCATCAGAGGTCAGATAGATCAACGAAGAATTACTACATACTATTTTACACTTAAGTTTGAATGCTTGATGTGAATGTAAGATGTTACAGTTAAATTACAGGATACGTAGACAAATAGCTTGGTCTTGAATGATTATGTGTATTTATATAATAACGTGGAAACTAGTCCGGTAAATCATAATAAAATTGGCAATAAATGTATAAATTGGAACTGGCATTAAATGTATATTAAAGAAACTCTGGTTGAGTAAAGTTTAGATATGAATAAAATTGTAGATTGAATGAATGAATAAAACTGCTCGCTAAGTAATTACTTCGTTGTATATGTAAATAACTTGTTATACTACACACTATATTTACGCTATATTACACTATATTTACGTTCATTTTACTTTCAGTGATTTTTTTTATTATCTATTTTAGGGTACCAATCCGGTATTGTATGATGTAACAGGCTGGGTCAAAGCTAGTCGGGAGAGTCCTGTTATAAAGAAAGCTCTGACTTTACTACAAGAAAGTCAAAAGTAAGTATAAAGTGTCTATGTATTCTAATACATTTAGGCAAACTTGATAATAATTAGACTAAAATATGTGACAATAGTTTTCGAATTAATATAATAATTGATATGTAGATTACACGTTTTCCCGACCAAAATACATGTAAATATGACTAAATAAATTACACGCTATTTTTTGTCAATTATTTTGTTATAAATACTTGTTCACCAATAAAACACACCCAAAATTGCATACACGTCACATAAACCTCTCTCTCACTCTATTACTAAAATTCATTAAAATCCGTTACGTAGTTTAAAAGATTTAAGTGAACAGATAGCGGAAGCAACTTCATTTTGTACTATGTAAAGATATATAAACGTGTTAATATGTATGTCAGTGAGGAGATAATCCGCCTGTCGTGTATGGCGCGGGGAGCCGCCGGCGGGGGAGCGACGGCGGCCGGCTGGGCGGCGGCCGGCGACGCCAACACACTGCGTCGAGCTTCCTCCATACGCCGCACGCTCACCACGGGTTAGTAATTTTTATAAAGTCTAGCTTATATTTTTTTGACAATTCCCACGCCATCTTGTCCCAAGCTAAGCAGAACTTGTACTAGATAAGTGATATATATATACATAGATATTTTTTTTGTTAATACATACATAATGTACATAGAAATCACCCAGACCGACACAAACACTCATACTGAATACAAAAGTCTGTACCGTGCGAGGAATCGAACCCGCGACTGTCGGGATTAAGACGGTGTGCCAAACCGCTATACCACCGAGTTCGTCAATTATATATTGTACAAACTTACAAACTATTGAAAGAAACAAATTATGAATTAAGTTGTTTTCACATACTATTTTTTTTTTAATTGTATCAATATGAAATGGTGAACCGCTGGTGTATATTATATTAAATAATACTATGGACATTACGTTATCATGTGAGACCTGTAATACTCATGAGGCCATTCTGGAGAACTAAGATGTCATGCATCTTATTCTGTAATTTCACTGCCATTTCACGAAACCCTTGTACAGAAACACAGATTATAAAGGAAACTGATTGGCGGCTGAAATAAGACAGAATAAGGCACTAACGTAGACAACTTTTGACAAAGTCAGTCTGGGTAAACAATATTAATGGCATATTTTGTGTAATTAAAAAGTAATCTCTAGCCGCAAGTCTACGTAGATCATTATAAAAAGTAGCCTATGTCATCCTGATTTAGAATAGAATAGAATACCACGAATACACGATTGAAGATTCGACGCTCGATCTAAGTATGGACATGCGCGCAGTCTTTCTCGTTCTCTTTGTCTACATTTACATGCACTTTTAATTCCTTACAAGCCTATTCACGCGTGACAGAGCGTATGTGTAAATACATCCATTGTCACGCAGGCACGGCTGGCATGAAGCGTCGATCAACAGCGTTGCAAGCCAAGTTTGTGGCGGATGGTGTAGTGGACACGCTGCGACGTTGCGGTGCCGGCGGCGTACAGTTCGTGTGTTGTCTTCTCACCAATCAGGCTTCTGATTCCGCTGATGACGTCAACGTACCCTTGTTAAGGTCACAGGTAATTAACATATGGAACATTTGATGATACCGCAAAATCATGGCGTAGTATTTGGCGTAATAATAGCTTATAACTATTGCGTACGTAAACTGATTAAAGTTAAACATATAATGGCAAATCCGTTCAGCCGTTTCTGAAAAATATTAATTAATCTATTTTTATTCCGAATATCATGTATCTGAAGTCACAGTACAGCCGTCTAAATAATATGCTAAAAAACTGTTATTTATTTCTTTTGAAAAAACTAATGCCATGTCTATATAATTTGTTACTAGTTCCGCGGCTTCCAACTTCTCGAAGCTGCTAGACTGTACAAGCAAGGATTCCCGGAGCACATGCCGCTCTCAGAATTTGCTAGAAGGTAATTTGCTATTTAATGAATTACATGTAGTTTATTATAATTACTTATCATATATTAAACATATATATATATTCAAGGCTTATTTTCATATTCGTGGTCCAAATCGTTATAGAGGTACGAATAATGTGACTTTTAAGAAAGGCTCCCCTCTTTCTATAAAGTCATATTATGCATATACATATAGTTACGCAACGTAACTGTACAATACTTATTCAATAAGGATTTATCTAAATCAAACAGAGTATCTCATTTTTTAGTTAAGCATAGCACCCCTTTCAGCAATTGTGTAGAAACATTTGGAGTATGCGACAACCACATGTATGATATGCCGCTGTATCTTGCATCTGTACTGTTGTTAGTAAATCGCCAACGGGGACTTTTTCACGATAAATACAAGATACATACAGCCTTTATATATATATATAGTCATTTTTTACAAGTAAATTACAGGATACGGATAAATTACGGATAACAATTTAGTTCTTCAAAATGGCAAGTATTAGGAGTAGAATATGAAATCGTTCTGTCGTGGTGGTCTTAAAGTATATAGAAGACAATTTCTAGTTACCATTATGTACACCGTCAACTAATCTGCAATGTCGTTTTATAAATAAATGCACTAATCCTAGGTATCGTCTACTGGCCACATCAGAAAACGAAACCGCTGAGAACAACCAACAGACATCTCTGTCGGATCGTCAGATCGTCGACGATATGCTTCTAGCGCTAGACCTTGATGTAACCAGTTACCGGCTTGGGCTCACTCAGGTAAGTGAATAGCATAACAAAAAACTTTCGTATGTTTCAATGTTCCTTATCACTTTTGAATGCTAAGAAGTTTGGCGAATCGACACGGTCGCTAAATTGGACCGCTAAATACCTTATCTCGTCTATCGGTACCTATAACTTACGTTTCGCCCGTTCGCGCGAACCGGCCGAGTCGACATGTAGAGCTCACCGATTATATACTATATCATAGATACGGTACGAGTGATCTCAGCCAGTCTTTCTAGAATTCACTCATCAGTAATGTATTAATTGTTCTACATTTAGTTAATGACGGAAAATATTTGCCAGATAATTAGATTTAATGCGTGAATACTAATATCGAAATAGTATATTGTATCTACCAATTTACTATGAAGATAATCTATTATTATGTTTTTTGACAAATCAAACCATGTGTTACTCTGTAAAATAAAGTATTTAACTTTCAAAAATTTGTATATTAGGTGGATATTGATCCACCTAATATACAAAATTTTTAGGCACCAAACAGTCTTTCTTTACTCGTCTTCAATTTTATCGTAATAATGACAATTGACATTATTATCAAAGCATCCTTAAAAATACATTATTCGCATTCTTAATATTGAATTGCATTAAGTAGTAACATGTTTTTTTGGAAGTCAACTTTAATGTCATAAAGTTAAAGTCTGTATCCCAAAAAACTATGTTTTGCCAGTTAGATATTCAGTGTGAGACATGTTTAACATCTAAGCTTTTAAATTGCCAAAAAACGAGCTATTATTATTAGCCTGCAAGTAATAGTTTTATTTGCATAATTAATTATACAATGGAGTGAGCACCGGTAAAGTGTTCCTTTGATTTCATGCGCTCGTAATATATGTACGTTTGTGCTTCTTTATAATGTTTCTAGATAAGTAATGTACTTACCTACTTTTACTATAATTACTGTGTTTTAATTCTATTCATAATGAGCAGTGAAATGCTTAAGACTGAAAAAACATATTTTTATTGCAGTTAGGAACAGTAATTCAGCTTCATGTGCGGTATACTCTAATTTTACTATAATTATTATATGTATTAATTAAATAAGTAGGCATGACCTCAAATAACTAAGCTAGACTTTATAATAAGTCGTCTCACTCATTTCGCCATGCAGCTTGCTTTGTGAGTTGTATTCTATTTGAAGAATAATCATCTTAGTCATAGATTAGATCATAACATTATCATCATTTAGTATCAGTTGGACGCCAGCTTTGTTTACCGTTTCGATTACGTATAAAAAAGTTAACTTTTGTGTGCGCCATATCTGTCTCATTGAGGTTATAAAATGGTGGAATGGTATATTAAGGTTTCTTAAGGGTCGCAATGCGTACGTTTTAGGCGTCCATAGGCTACGGTAACCGTTTAAGATCAGATGGGCACTATGCTTTGTTGCCACCACTTGGTATAAAAAACATACTCTAGATGCCTACGCGGTGTGAATTGTGTACCGGAGAAGAAGTTACAAGTAACTAGTATACAAAACAAAGTTAACGGCCTGTAAAAATGTTTAGCATAATTGTATTCACATTTAAAACACTTTTTTTAATGTAATTTGCAAGCAAGCAAATGGTAAAGTTGTACAAAGTCTATATATCAAAATGTTCCAATAAATAATATACTGTAATTTTCAATTATAATATAAAATAAATGGGTATTTAGCGATAAAGCCGGCCATTGTTGCCTCTGCTTTCTCATTGTTGTATGTTTATACATATGTATTTGTACATAAATGTTTGTATTTTTTTCTGTGAAGAGAACAATTAAGAATTTTCAGTTAATTTCAATTCAAATACCACGAATTTTTACATACACACTTTTTAAAGCATAAGTCGAGACCCATTTTTCCACACTACTACTTCGTTAATGTTTGATTTAAAAAAAATGTGCTGCCGTACTTTTTATTTCTTATCTTTATTGGAATAAACATTTATTTTTATTACACGATTATATTCACTTAACTTTTGCCAAACGATTATTTATAACTAATAAAGAATATGTCTTTATTCTGTATATCGCTTTTTATGTTACTTTTTATGTTAACGGTAACATCCATTCAATAAGTGTACTTTCTTGCTTATAAAGTTAATACTTGCAGATCAGTTTATCAGTTATTTATGGGCCTTTTGAAGAATGTTGTAGTTGAATCTGAATAAAACACTTTTCTACTTATAATTGATATTATCTTATATATAAAATTCTCGTGTCACAGTTTTTGTTCCCATACTCCTCCGAAACGGCTTGACCGATTCTCATGAAATTTTGTGAGCGTATTGAGTAGGTCTGAGAATCGGCCAACATCTATTTTTCATCCCCCTAAATGTTAGGGGTAGTCCCCCCTAATTTTTTTTTTACTTTAAGGCAAAACAACGTTTGCCGGGACAGCTAGTTAATATATAAAATAATCAATGCGGTACATCGAGCTGTACCCGTATGATGGGTACATAATGACAGCGTTGCCTCTTTGAATAGCCTTTGCCCAGAGGGTAAAGTTACTAACAACTCTCGGGTCACAAGTAACGTCGATTAGCTGCGCTGAAATACTCCTCAAACACAGTTTAGTATATATATAATATAGTTGAATTGTTCGTGTTTTATCTAGAATATTCGAATATGATTTTGCGAGGGATTGGGTCGGCTAATGCCGTCGCAGATATTGTTTGACAAGACAACCAATGACCTTATGGAAAGTGGTAAGTAACGCCAGCACTACGAATACCATTAAATATACTATGATTATACAGTGGTACTGCTCTTTTATTAGTGGTATTTTCTATCACGGAATTAAATTACTTGTTAATTCATATTGAATTATATGCTGAAAAAAAAAACAAAACAATTGTAGATGGTATTTTTAAAAATAATTAGGATAAATATCAATATATTCCTTTTTGACTGGGAGATGGACGGTATTTTCTTTAGCCTATATGTTGACTTGTTTAACAACTATTTATGAAAATTTCATCGTATTTCCTCCAGGTGATACATCAACAACAAGCGACTGATAGACAATTTTCTCTACGATTTTATTATATGTAGAGAAAAAGATAATTGTAGATGTATATTGACAAGTCAATCACGACTTCCTATGTAGATAATAATACATGTAGACAACCTGTGTATGCGGTTTCACGTATAATTTACAAACAACGCTATTATATTCTATTTATAGCCGTGGAACAAATTAACTTACTTTCTTGCGGTGCTTGAATTATTTTGGTAACAGTAAACGGTGTTAGAACATACTAGAATCATGCCAGTGATAACCAAATTGGCAAGTTTTGCTTAGAAGAATCGCGTGTTTAAATTGTTGGATGGAAATTTTTACGATTGAACATGTGGGCCGTGAAACCTTTCTTTGGCACCAAATTTTATAATGTTTGCAATTTTTTTATTATTAAACGAGCTCATTATTTGCCTTTTGTGAAACTGACACTAGTCTAATTTTATATATATATATATATGATGATGATATATATATGTATATTTATATATCATCATCATCGTCATCGCAGCCCAGAAGACGTCGACTGCTGGACATAGGCCTCCCCCAAAGATCTCCACGACGATCGGTCGTGCGCTGCTCGTATCCAATGCCTTCCAGCGATCTTGACCAGATCGTCGGTCCACCTTGCTGGAGACCTTCCCACGCTGCGTCTTCCGGTCCGTGGTCGCCACTCGAGAACTTTACTGCCCCAACGGCCATCTGTCCTACGAGCTATGTGCCCTGCCCATTGCCACTTCTGAGTCGCAATTCTTCGGGCTATGTCAGTCACTCTGGTTCTTCTGCGGATCTCCTCATTTCTGATTCGATCACGCAGAGTAACTCCGAGCACAGCCCTCTCCATTGCCCTCTGAGTGATTCTGAGCTTGTTCATGAGGCCCATAGTTAGCGACCACGTCTCTGTTCCGCAAGTCATCACTGGCAACACACATTGGTCGTAAAACTTCGTCTTGAGATATATATATATATATATATATACATATATATGATACAGTGCACCCACGCTAACGGTATACGCTGACTGAGCACCAGTGAAAGATGATATGATGGGTATGAAGTCAAGCCAGTTAAACCGAATTAGCCAGTTAAATAGAAACTTAATTAGACCGGTATCCAGGAGGGATTGCGTAAAGGTATATCTGATATAGAACATTGCTGCCAATTGGTCGAATAATTCCCATTACTAACAATCTCCTCCCCTACTGTAAAAATTTATTATGCCGTTTAGTTACGCCGTTATTGTCAACAGACTGAAAGTCATCATCATCTGCTTCTTCCTTATCCCATTTATTTGGGGTCGGCCCAATATGTTTTTCTTTTCCATTCATCCCAGTTCGCAGTCATCTAGTTATTAGACTAAAGGTCCATGCCCTTTTTTGTGTTTTATTTATTTAGTCTATTCGTTTTTTTTTTGCTTTGCATGCTCCGCGAAAATATGAGTTGTAGTTTCCCGCAGTTTATTAATTACACTGATTTTACTAGTAATAGGTATGTATTTAATTATTATTATTAAAATTTAGTGTTTGAAATCAAAATATCTTTATTCATGTAGGTATTGTATATTACAAACTCTGATAATATATCGAATCTACCATTAGTTCGGAGTTCTCATTCTTTGCAAATGATAACGCGGTTACAGAAATAAAGATTCATTTTTAAATCAATTTAGGGAGAATGACCAATAGCGTATGCTATTGCAGAAAAACAAACACAACAAAAAAGAATGAGCGAAATCGGTCTAGCCGTTCACTCGTGACGCCGTGGCATACAGTCGCTGATTCTTTTTTATGTTGAGGGTTTTCTTTTCGGAGGAAATCATATCATCATATCATATCATAGCATTTAGATAAATCCCTATTTTAAAAGAGAAAAGACGAAACCTAACCTAACTCACTTCTTGTATACCATATTGATCTGTAGCGACACTTTGTATCGTATAGTCATAATACAAAACCTAAACTACCTTTCTGAATAC